CACACCGAATCGAGGCACCTAACAGTTATGAGACTAGGGAAATATGCGACAGTGCAGCTGTCCCGTCTATCATTATTTTTTTCAAAACAAAAGTAAATGTCGGAATGTGGTCAATTGCCATCGATATTTTAGTCAAGGCACGGAACCCATGTTGGGCACATCATCAATACGTCGAACAGATGACTCTCTACCTCACTTGATCACGTGAACACGTAAGATCCCAATGAGGAACGCTAGTAATTGCTCTCTCCTAATGCAGTGTACGCTCGGGTCTCGTGATTGGTTAATTTACATTCACTGAGTTGAGTGTTCAACTCACATAGCCTGGATCTATCGACCACGACTGCTAGCCAACCGATCTTGCGAAATCTCCCTCGCCTGCTTCTACCAAGCTACAAAAACACGCTAATCTAATTAATATATTGAAAGTAGTGAGGAAATAACGTGTTTCAAGGCCGAAGTGAATTTGAGAAATGAAGAGTTGTAAACAAAGCTGTCGTTTGGAGAACCTAAAGAGCACTGTAAAATAAAAACACATTCGAAAAAGCCCTTTTTTCTGTGAGAAGAACGGCAACGGTTTGAAAGTGATATATAACTAAACAGCACGCTTTGGGAAATCGAGAAATTGTCGGTTTGAGAAAGTGGTACCTCCCATTGAGTGCTCAGGTGCATAACTTCACCGCATAACCGACTTTAACATGGAAAAGTTGGTGTCGTAACCCGATTCGACCCAGAATGGTACGATTATTGGTTCAGGAGTCTCATTAAAAGCTGATTCCCTTTTACTGCATGTTCCCAGTTCGTCAAACTCGATATTTCACGCGGTTATGTCGCTCTCCCTCTACTTCGATGGCACAGGCGCCATGTCACAACCGACCACAGACCAATACCGACAGTTTACTCTCCAATGATGCATGATCGCTTGACCTGATCCGAAAATGACCCACATTCGATTACCCCATTTAATGTCTCGTCCAATGTGGGGTATTACTGGTGATTCGCTGATGACGTGAGTTAGCTTCCGCCAACCTTTTTGTGAGGACTCTTTTGTCTGTGTCAGGACAGGGAGCTGTACTGTCTCAACCAAAGCTCAGAGCACTAGCTGAGGTCACGACAAAAGCCGAGTGCTTGTTCAGATGCGTCTGGACGTTCCAAGATCGATGAGCTTGGTGACTAACGCTGAATGACTCGTTGTTGGTGTTAGCGATTATACAGCGTGGCTGCAGAATTCTGATCGCGTGGACAGAGCTGAGTAAATACAAGTCACAAACCTGGGTGCTAGTTAAGTAGTCATGTTGACATCACCAATACGAATACAAATAGTTGTACCTTCGTCCGATCCTGTCGCGGTAGTCTGCTAACCATTTCCCTTGCCGTCAGATTCTGTTATTATCAACGATAAATGGGACTACTAAGAAGCAACGGGAGCTACATATGTCTGCAGACTACTCTGCTGTGGATTTAATGCGCTCAGAACGCACTATAGGGTCAAGTGTTCGTAAGATCTTTGTATCTACAAGCTCACCAGTGCTGGTACCTCCATTTTCAGGAAGGTTTTTTGGTTGTCAGGTCACCAAGAGATCTTCTCTGTAACTCTTTATAATCCAGGGATGGAACACTGCCCCTCTATCAGCCTGTTGCCTGCTGATGGAAGTCCGCGATTTGATTTGTTAACCCTGTTAAGTTGCCATGAGAGCGTTTGCATTCCGTCGGTTGGCACCGCATTCCTTTAAAATCCACTTTCAATTACCGTGAAAATTCTGATTGAGTTTTATTCTCAAACCACAAGTCTTGCTTGTTGACGACGCTCCAGGTGACAAGGACGACGTGAAGGTGCTTGGGGAGGGCGTGGCATAGCGCTCCGTAGGTATACGTGAAGCTACACCCAGCACAGTTAAACAACTCGACATTCCTGATCAAACACGAGTGCCTCGGTTGCATTCTAGACTCCTTCATGTTCAGCAGACTTCTAAGGTGTCTGTTACATTTGCAATGTTAATTCAAAATAACCCTTTGTTTCACTAAACTGGTTTTTCGGAACAAATGATTAGCAATGCCATTCGGCGTATGCATTTACTGCGTAATAGTTATTGCTTAGGATAACCGCAATGACAATTATTCTTCAATTCACGCGCGCAAATCACCCTGTGTTATTTGCAGTGACTTCACGGAATCTCGCGATTGGCCACAACAGGAACTGAATGCGCTTTAGTTAACACCGTTCTTAGAAGACCACCTTTCTTTGTGCAGCGCCTTCACGCTTTAAATCATCATTGGCCGATTCGAACACCGAATAGAATCTAGATTTGTGTTTTGGCAAAGCAGTGCTTAATCTCGACTGCCTTGACGACTGTGTCGGCTGTTGCTTTTTTTAGTTGCCAGCTTCGAAGACTTAAGTCAAAACCACTTAAAGCATTTTGCGATTCCCGTTCCGGTGTGCTTAGAAGCGTCTTGACAAAATCAAGACGTACACACGCATAAACAGTCGTGTCGACACTGGACCACGAGGCATCTCAAACTTAACTGCTCGGTGTTCTTCCGGTGGTGTCTAGTACATTCACTCGACACCGTCAGAACGTGCGTAATAATTGACTTGCATCAAAACAGCTGGCTGGATTCGTCCAGGACAATTGGTCGTCGGTTTCAACAAGCTTTTTTGGTGATGACTACTTCAAGCGCAGTTCTAGGTTTCATTTGAAGTCAATGCGTCCCACGCAACCTTCAACAACCCTCGCTCTGAGGATTTCACCAAATACGGCTCTATCGAAGTCTCCAAAGACCATCCAACAGAGTACATGTTGAGTCGGTGTGGCAGAAAATAAATTCACCTACGGTTGTGGTTGCGGGGTGTAGGCGTTGCTAGAACCAGCGTAGTGGCGGTACTCAAGTTGGCGCGCGTTTTCAGAAAGGGTGTGTGTGCGCGGAGAAGCCGATTTCAGGTGTAACTGCAGGATCCTGGAAATTACACACCCACCATTCTCGACAAATAGCGAAATCGCATGCGCCAACGGGGAAATCGCCATTTAGACTAGTCTTCGGCCTGAAATGCAATGCTACGAGTGCTTTCAAATCGCGCGTCTCTATCGACGGTCTGTAGAGATGGCGGAGTTGAAGTGAAGCACAAACAATAGAATGCAAAGGTATACACTTCAACAGTTTTGAACTGTGCGCACGGAGAAAGGAAAATTAACCAGGAAACACCAACGATTATTATTTGCGGCTCTACTGTTAACTTAGTGAGTAGTGTGAATTACTACAGAAGTACAACGACATTAGAATTGACTCAATTATCTTCCCCTCCCTAGATGTTAATGGGTGGAAATTAGTTCAAGTCACAAATAGACTCAGGTTTTGAATTATTTTCTATCTCTGACTTTGCCTAAGAAGAAGTATTAAATTGTGCAAATGCTAGACTCATTTACTGTCGCACCTAGCTTGAAGCTAATTCCAAAATTTATAGGGTCGTAAAAGTTTAAGCAAAGCGCTCATTACGCATGGATTCCTAAGGGCGGTGGACGAAATCACCACAGCCAATCACACTGCGACCCGACAACCCGTCCTGTTTCTAAGCGTGAACAAGAACTATTGAATTTTCATTGTAATTGCTTACACCAACACATAATTAAGTAATGTAAACAAAGTTTGATAAATGACATTCGAGTAAATCTGGCATTAATGGCAGTTTTCAGGCATCTAAAATGAATAAATCAATAAAAAAAACTACCAAAGGCCATGGCTACTAAAAACCAGACTCCAAAATTATTTACACAAGAAGATGTTTCCAAACGATAGACGCAGGTTACGAAGCCGATGGAGTAAGAAGTTGCGAAAGACAATATTACTTAAAATGAGGTTTAAGAAAAACCAGTCTGAAAATATCCACAAGAACAATCGGGGATTAGAATATATTCCTATTTTTAATGCGCCAATCTCCGAATGTCAAACTAACTATTTTAAATTCTCTCATAGCGAACACGACGCAATACACACTTTTAAATATGAGGTATTAAGTTCAAAATTATTAAAACCACCAAAACGGTTGGGAAGGGAGGCAGAGTTCGACTACTTTTTTCAATTTTATGATTTATCGCTTTAAAAAGGCGGGTAAGTTAAGAGTAGCCATTCGGAAATCGCCACATTTAAATAAGAAGGTACATGAAAACTACAGCTGGCTAGACAATTTCACCTTGAAAACGGAAAGTTCCGTCAGCAATTAAATATAAAGTATAATTTCCGTGTAGTTATTTTTGGACAAAACCATCAGTTAGGTTGAGGAACAAAGTGTGCTTTGGGATTTAGTTAATACCGAACATATAAAATGTGTTTGTTTGACAAAGCAACCAAAGAATAGGAAATCAAAAGTGTTAAAGCGAAAAAAGGGTTGAAATTAAATTTTGGAGTGATGAAGAGAAGCAAATGATGGCAACTCTCTTGTCAGTTTCATGCATATACTTGTTGTGCTTTATTATAATATGGTTCAAAATTTTGGGTTATAAATGTCCGTTTGAAAATCCGGTAAATTCAGGAAGTCGTAAATAAAGGGAGTTTTTAAATATAAAAGCAAATAGATCAGTAGGACATTCATTAACTACAAATAAAATAAATTATAATGAAAATAAACAGGGCACACACTTGGCTGCAATGTAAATACATGCAATATAAAGGCATAAGAAAGGCGACTGACAGGATTATGGGACAATGAAATTTTCCACTGAGTGGGGATTCAACGTAAGCAAATAAGTTCAAACATTGAAGACATGTCAATGAATTTGTGCTATTTTGGTACTTAGATGCCACAAATTAAAATATTTTTTTCTGAATTACAATCATGGAGACCGATACATAAAGTCCGAGGTTCATTTAAATCACGAACAAGTTCATATAATCCTCTGACAAAAGTTATCAAGGCAGCTTATTTATTAGTTTACGTATTATGATAGTTTTGGTTTTAAAATATGTTGCAAGCAATTGAGCTGAATCTGTACTTTTTCCTGTAGTTTATGATTGAATTTCCATCCGTGATGATGACGGTAGGTAAAATATGCCACAATAAAACATTACGGACAAAGGCAATAATTAATAGCGATAATATGGTGTCATGTTTGGTCACTGAATCCAGTGAAAGACGGGAATCTGGAGAAATACATCAATCATTTAGATGTCCAAGTGTTATGAATGATCATATCGTGCAATAAGATCATAAATTTCACAAATAGCACCTCATGGATCTAAATACCAAAGTCACAATATTTCATAATGCTACCGCCGAGTCTTCGGGATTGCATTTAATTTACATGCGTTTTTTCAAAAGTTATCATTTGAAAATAATTACTGCAACATCATTTGAGCACTGCATTCACACTGTAGTAAATATTCATGAAGGACAAAATTATTTCCGAAGTTTATTTCCGTTATGTAGATTTTGAATATGCATCAAGATTTAATCCAGACATTTCATATGCGCCTTTTCTACAAAATATATGGTTAAAATACTAATTCATTCCATCTGATAATCTAAAATAGATTTGTATTATATTTGCAACGTAGTCTAACGAATTGGCGAATCATCTTCGAGGATTTGTTCTTTAAAGTGAAGGGCGTTGCCGCATTGTTTGGAGTTGTAGCAAACAGTTTTTGTAGATAGCAGCCCATATTTTGTCTTTGACTTCTACACTCCCTCAAACACCTTACATGATTGGATTCATGGACTTCATAGGCTATGTTATTGACAAAGTCAATCTGCAGTTTCGGGATTGCGAGCCGGTGGACATCATTATGGGAACACTAGCATGTGTTGCTTGCGTGTTTCTCTTAAGAATTGTATTTTGTGCAATGACAGGAGACTTCCTGCTCTTAAAAGCGATTTTATTTCGATGTGTTACAAGTTTACCCTATGTTCGTGGCGTTAAAGATAACAAGCTTCGTGCTCTCAGGAGGGATCTATTCCAGACAATTCATGGCAAAACTGAAAAACTCGGTTATCGAACGCATCTGCCCTTACAGTCTAGTACTATTGTAATTTTAAATTTATGCCTAAACTTCCGATTTAGGACGAGGTCCTAAAAGAAGCTACCTCTTACCATTCCTCGCGTGTTGTTTCATGGAAGGACGGTTCTATGTCAGGAGCAGTTTATCCAATGAACAATGACTTGAATGAATTGCTGATTCAAGTAAGCTTTTTTGCCCTGGGGATACAAATCCCGTTTCAATGAGACCTTGTCTTTAAAAACCCATATATGGTCCGTATACCCTTTGCATTTTAAACGTTCCTCATACAATGCTGGCCGTCGACGGTAATTTTATCGCATTGGAAATCAGTACGTTTAAATATGCTATACGCTTATAAAACTAGAGGTTTCTTATTCGGCTCAGCTTTGGTTAAAGTTCTTTAAATCCACAAACCGTATACCGATCGCCCCAAGTGCTTTACTTGTTAGTCCATGGAAATGAAAACGAACAACAGGAATACCTGCGTGTTTGTCAGAAAGGCTGAATTAAAGGCGTCGAGTGCTTGCCTAAAGGTGCAGACAGCGTTTCCCACTTCCCTACTTGCTGTCGTCACTTTATTGCTATACGCCGTACCTGTGGTGTAATGCTAACATGTAGGCCAATTTGTGTGAATGTAAGACGTGTGGCAACTTAAATTCGCTTACGTAACTGGGCTTTTTTTAATGATGTCACCGTCTTAAAGTACACATCCGCTTAAATGACGACTTGCGTATGTAGGCACGGGAATGAAGGTCGAACTGTTACCAAGTGTTTTGCGGTGCTGAGACAAAGGTTTAACCAGTTAGGTGCATCTAATACTTCGACCGTTTGAGTGAGTGTGTATGCCTTCTTGGCGAATTCATTGGGACCTTTTAGCGACGTTGAAGTAAATGCTTTAATCGGAAAAAAGATGTCTGGCCCACGAGGGTTTAAGTTTGAACTAGTCTTTCTGTTTACTGTTTCGTGATAATCTTTGTTCCTAAAAGATGACTTCTACCTTTTTTTATCAGTGACCGTGCACTTGACTTTTTAAGTGATCCTACTAGGTAGGTTGGTGAAACTAGCAAGTAAATGGGAGATTTGTAATTCCAGTTTTCTTATGCCTCAATTGCGCAGCAAAGTAGACATCATTTGAGCAATTATTAAAAGGGACACGGATTTGGGTTCGTTCAAAGTGCTTATCTTTTGGACTGTAGATTCAAAAGATGACTCTCTGGTCCAATCCCTTACACATGGACGCCTTTCCAGCTGTTCGTCGCATGGAAGCCGAGGTAGTTCGGATGTGCCTAACCATGTTCAACGGAGACGCTGACAGCTGCGGCACTGTGAGTTCTTGATCCATTTTCTTTGCTTAAATGTAGCTTCCAGTGTTCTCTGATGTCTTGTGCTTTTGTGAGCAGGATGCGTCGTGGACGTCATCGAATCCCTAGTAATTCTTCGTCGGTGGTTGCTGGGGTGTTATGTCAGTTGTTTTACCTAATAGTATCTTTGCCATATCAAAGCTTTAATCCAGCCGTCTTGTCCTGATTGGCTGTTAGATTCAAATACACTTCATTGTGCAGTTGTAATTTATTGCTCCAAAATACCACAGCTCATACATTTTTACGTGTGACGACATCGTCTCGATGTCTATGTACTTCAATGAAATACGTCAGCTTGAAAATTCTTGCTTCATTTGCACCGTTCCGCCAAACACCAAAAGAGCACAATTTGCACATTTTCTAGTGGGGTTAGCGCTTTGTCAGCGGTGTGTATTAAGGCTGGTGGTTGCATTTGCTCACACGTACTCAGGTAAACTAGTTGAGATGCTAATTTTGGTTTCCACGGTTGTTGTACTCCACAAATATCCAACTGCAACTACCCACGCAACTCTCTTTAGGTCCATGTTAATCAATTCCTCTAGGCTTCGCAGGCCGACGGATGGGGACTGATGTAACCAACGCACCTCCCTCAGTTACTCCGTGAACAGATGCACGCTTTCATGTCCGACATTAAAGGCAATCAGCCATTGGTTGATTTCTATTAAGGGTCGTCGTCACGTTTGCGTTCATTGGATAACTCGACCAATAGTCTGGAAACGCGCCACTTGGGAGCAAGGACGAGAAACGATTAAAACAATTGCCATCCTCTGTTGTTCTCCTCAGTTTCTTCAGTCGATGGGGTTAACTTGAACCTGCTCCTCACGAGGAAGATCCTTTGAGTAGCCAGCTATGCTGCCTTTTGTGGACGCCCTATCTGATAGGAATCGCTTTAGCCTGCGAATCGGGAGTTTGCAGGTGCAGTCGAACCAATTGTGGAAGGTACCATTCACCGCAAAATTTTGTGATTCCGGCTGGAGAGGGTGAATTTTTTGCCACGACTCCTAACGTTTGTAGCACCCAGCGCTCTAGCGTAGGAAAAACTTTCAAAAATTCCTGACAGGGACTCGATCCACGGTTGTTGGTTCAACGTATCCTTGTTTTGTTAACTGAGGTTAGTTGTCGGTCATTTTGTCCTGATTACAGATGACCTCCGGGGGAACGGAGAGCCTGATGCTGGCGTGTCTGGCCTATCGCAATCTGGCCTACAAACAAGGAATCAAGCGTCCTGAAATGTAAGCTATTTCGCGTGTTTGTCGCAATCGTGAGGCTAGCTTGCAACTCCATGGTGATTTGGCACCGTCACGTTGTTGTGCATGCACGGAGACGCCAGTTTAGTTTAGAATTAATGTCCGCTTACAAAAAAAATTGTTTTTAGTGAAAAATAACGTCCGTGAACGTAACCTCCGTTGGCTTCCATAACTTAGTGCCACTTGCAACCACGTTAATAAACACATCGTTGACGCAGTGATCTTGGATCAAACAGGCGATCCTCTTGAGTGTATGGGAGGGCATTGAAGGAGTAATCTACCACGGATTGCCGCACAACAGTCAACCAATCACTTTGCTGTGAATCGTGTCGCCACACACCCTAACACGACCTCCTTCTCACAGTTTTGCCGTCACCCATTCAGTCGTTGGTGTCTCGCATAGGTCAACAGCCTTCAACTTTTCATGCACAGTGGCGCGATATCCACAAAACGCTGAGTAATCAGCCACACGCTGGGACAATTTTGTCGCTTGAAATTGGTTTGAAGCAAGCGAAATGAACGTTGTCTCACCGCGCCACTGCTCTGCATGCCAGGAATCTCTTAGAAGAGATTGGCTGGGAATATTGTCAGGTCGAACTGACCCGGATTCGTACTTGGCTCCTAAATCTGGAATTTTACGGCCGCGGCATTCATAAACCCATTGACAAGGTTCAAAAAAACTAATAACTTTGCTTCTTTTTACCCAAAAAACTTTGCACTTATCTGACAGGACCGAAAACCAGTCAATCTATGCTGATATATGTTCCGTCTACTTGCTTGTAGGGTCATTCCTTCCTCTGCTCATGCTGCTTTTGATAAGGTACAGTTGCCAATTTTTCTATTTACGTGTTATTTACGCTTCGAAGCCCTGGATTTCAACATTTTCGAACTCACGAGACACCACCAAGTGAAATCAGTAGTGGCGCACATTAATCATCACACGCTTCATTGAATTTTCCAGTGTTGACGACGGTTACGTAGATGAAATTTAAGCTCTTCTTGTCGCCACCTCAAGCCGTGATTCGTTTATGCCTGTCTGCGTTGCCTTATAGGCTGGAAGTTTGATGAATATCAAGGTGACGAAGGTTC